CAGCCTAAATCTGAGGTATTTTGAAATTGGCCCACCTCTTGCAACATTCCAATAAACTCTGAAAATGACCAGTTCAGCTGATTTAACAGGCCGTTGAGAAATTCGCTTGCCAGTTGATTGTCTTTGACGCAAAGTTGACCAAACTGCTGCTGGCATTTCTTAGAAGGATGAGGAGCTGAAATAAGTAAAATATTTAAGCAACACGTCAGGTACATTCAAAATTTAATAGGGACCTTACTCAAGTCAAAATGGACACAGCAACGAGGAAATGACGAAAAAAAAATTAATGAACAGCAGAACACTAACTCTGCACGTGCGTTGTAAAACTTTGCACATAATTGCTAGCCGCCCGCTAAAAATACATATATGAGGATTGCCCTTGTTGTTAGGATCACTCCCTTCCTCTAATATTTGGCCTTCTAAGCTACATATGGATCATTGTCAGTATCTGAGTAACTGCACTCCTTCCCCTTACTTAAAAATTCGTCAAAATCGTGAATTACGCCAAGCTGGTTCCACTTTGACGAAGTTGACTATAATCCGCTATAATCGTCAAATCTGTTTACATTCACTCGGTTTGGCGAAATTTCGTCAAATCTGCCATTCTCGTTTCCGCGTGCATTTCCAGACATAAGTAGGTAAGTAGGGGATACTGACTTTGACCCTATATATATATTTTAAAAATTCAGGAAAAAGATTCCGAGTACTTACGCTGGAGACTGGCACGTTGCTGACCTGAAAATAAGTGATAAGAGTGTTCAGCAAATTTCAATTGAGTGTCGAGAGTAGTGCAGGATCGCTTTAGTTTTACTTTACCTTGCTTTGTGATTGGCTCAGAAACTTGTGTCACTTTCTCAACCAATCAGATTCGAAACTAAAACCAATTGCGACTTTAACCCTCGCATTTTCCCGCGCTTTTGGCAGTTTCTTTGTTTTCACATGGAGCTCTGATTGGCTTCTTAAGATTACTATGGTTTTGGTTTAAAAAGTATAATTGGGCATCATTGCAATAGCTGGGAAATCGTTACGAACTATTTATGGGTACTGCAAAGGGTACTGACAAACTTTCACCTAAATCTAACGGAGAGGCTGGGGAGAAGGCGGGGTAGGGAACTGGAATGAGTTCCAAGAGCTGCGAGAGTCAATCTCGTATGTAGATTTTATCTAAGAATAAGGTTAAATAAAGTAGAAACTGGCTGATAATCCTAGCTGTTTATCACTAAAGAAAGTTATGATTCGTGAGTTTAGTCTGTAGTTATGTGACAAAATAGCCACCACATGATGTAATTTTCCCTCAATAAACAAAAAAGTCAATTAACTGGTGAATAGATTGTGACAGGGTTTACCTTGTTCTGGGAGTCCAAGTGTGATGACATCTGGTGAGCTAGTGTAACGAAAAGCGAATCCACAACCCTGACACGACAAGGAAAAGCGATGGATCACGAGAACACCAAAAAGACAAAGAAAAATAACTCATCAGCAGTGCGCTCACACTTGAGAAATTCACTAACGAGTCCCATCATACCTTGAAATCCACACTAATTTTTCTTCGTTTCTCATTTCCTAATTCACATTTTAAATTTCACTCTGATCTTGAAAATTCTCGTTAAAACCTATTCAATTCAAAGCAAAACGTATTACAGCTTTAAGAAAACTCCTTCTTGTTTTCTGTTATACAAACCGGGATAAGCTAGAAAAAGTTTTTGACACAGGTTCGTATGCAGCCTGTTTTTTGCCATAACTGCAACCAAATTAGAAGCGTACCAAGTTCATTACTAAATGACTCATAACTTCCATTTTGCATCATATTCTTCTAACCTTCCATATTCGCACTAGAATCCATGTCGTTTGCACCCACGATCGCTTATCATAAGCACCCATGAGGGATCGGATAGCCTTTTCCAACCTAAAAGTCAAATGGGGTAATTTAATATCATCAACTGAGTTGATAACGTAAGTTGGCCACCGCAAAGAGTTTCAAAGCTGAGGTTTCGAGAGTTAGCCTTTCATCAGTCGCTCTGAAGAGGGGCTAACACTCAAAATGTCAGCTTTACTCTTTACAGTGGCCAATTTACGCTATCAACTCAGTTGATAATACTATATACTCCCACCAACGCAGCAACACAGTTTCTTCAGAAAAAAAATTTTAAAAAATATCAGACAAACATGAGAGAAATCTCCAGGTGTTGGTCTTAAATGTACTGGATACGTTGCATATTTTATTTGAACTGGGTTCCACTGCGTATCAAATTCACTGCATTTCGCCTTTTCTTAAAAGCAAATCGACATCAGATGCAAAAATTCCATTTATAATTCACTTGGCCAAAGAATATGCATGATGAGGCCATTTGTGAAAATTCAAGCCTATTTGTAACATATTATTACAATTTTTTTCACCATTTCTTTATTATTATTTTTAAAATTTTTTTTTACCAACACGAGAAAATCATTTGGATGAAAGTGTTTCGGAAATACTTTCTAATTGAGTTTCATTCATGGTGAGCAACTAAAGCGAGACTTGAGGGTAAAATTGAAAGTCAAATAAATTCGGTATTTCATGGGATTCGCTTCACTTCGCTCTGTAAACTTGCGCCTGGTTGTAAGCCAATCAGATGCAAAACTAAACCAATCGCCACTTGGCGTTCACGAGCGCCATCTTCGCGCCCCTATGGCGTCTTTTTGCCAGAATTAATCACTGCTGTGACCTTGTTTTTCATCATGTATTTATTAGCCACTTAGGATGTAATATTCATACAGGCTTAGCAGTATGGTGGGGCGAGGAGACCTCCTTTTCTAAAGAATAATCAAAAAGTGACTCACAGTGTCTCTGACATGTTCTCCACCGCTTCCAGACTGTCCGGGTAACAAACAAACGCAGCTAAGGCTTGTATGATAATATCCCGTAAATCTAGAGAGACAAAGCAATTAATCATGGCTCAATCGCCCTACGTTACAAGGCTTGCGAGCAGATTGGAGAAGATTCTGTATGCTAAGACAGACAAGAAGCTAGGATCACGGATTGAAGAAGACAGAATCCAGAACGGATAGCGCCCATGCACGAAGGCAGATGGTTTTCCTGAAAGGAGAGGGGGAGAACCTTGCGATGTGTGTGTGTGTGTGGAGGGAGGGTAGGGGGCACAGATATGCAGTCATTTTGCAGTCATTTTGCAGTCATTTCACACACCTGGATTGATAATTCTTTGGTCGATGAAGTGTGTACACAAAAAAGCCGCCATTTTTTGAAGAGTGTCACTTGACTCTGGGAAATAAATAAATATAAAATATGTAATGTCTATCCATAAACAACGCACAACAAGAATCATGCGATTAAAAAAAATTATGAAAAGATTACATTATATTACATACTATCATGATTATCATCATTATTATCATTATATTTATTATTATCATCATCATTATTATTATCATTATTGTAGTCATCATTACTAGTAAAAGACATTTGGTAAAGTGTGGGGCCATGATAATGTACCGCTGGATGTTACCAAAATTAAACAAAAACATGAGGCTCTCCCGTTGTTAACTTTTAAACAAGTATATTTCTACTAAAAACACGAACCCTAACTAACAACTGATCGAATGGTACAATTAACCAATGGTACGAGATTACCACAACGGCTCGAGCGAACGTCAGTGGGAGCTACAACAATGCCTGATATCTCACACGCGTACTACTCGCGTTCACAGAGCTCAACGTTTTAATCGACTTATCGGGAGAACTGCGCCTGTTGTGCGGGCTACAAATCCTTAAGTCAAGAATTTCCTTTGATAACGAATTTATCGACGCAACTTCGATTCCAACAAAATAGACTGCTGATTTTCCAAAGCAGGAGAAAGAATAAAGAAGTTTTTTAATCAATATTTTTCTTTAAAAGAAAATCTTCGCTTAATCATGGTCTGTTGGAAAACGGGCCATATCATAAGAGCCAATCACAAAATAAAGCTCTGGAACCATCTGTTCAACCATATCAATTTCGGTATTTTTTCGGTATTTTCGTTTTTAAATTGCTCAAATCATTCTCCGGTCGGAAAAGCCAACGATTTAATTAAACGAAAAGTTTTAAAGATTTTAAACTAAATTTGAAAACATGGTTTCATCCCACGAGTGATATAAGAAAATACAAGGTTTACTGCACTCACTGGTAAGGCGACACTATTCTGACCTGCTACCAAGGCGATTTGATAATTATGCAAATGCTAAAAGATAATTTATGACAAAGACAATTTAAAACTCTTCCATCTGTATACACTGGACACTTTGAAAAATGAAGTCAATAATCATTGTGGTTGCAGCTCTGTTCCTTTCTTCCCTCATCATCGTTTCGTACTGGAACTCAAAACAGATTTTACCGACACTTAGTAAAACGCAAGGTAAGCGTATAAAGCTATCATGACCCATCAAGAAATACGAACGCTGCTGCAAAAGTCTTGTGAAAGTATTCTGAACACTCTTAGCGATATAACATTGAGTCAAACAGTATCAAATAGGTGCAAATTTCGCCATCGACGATCTTTAAGTCAAATGTTTTCCGATGTTCTGTATAAGAACGGTTCTCTCGCGAACATTGATTCTCACAAGGAACAGTATCAAATGAGTGCAAATTTCGTTATTAATGATGCTTGAAGTCAAATGTTTCCCGATGTTCTGCATACGAACTGTTCTCTCACGAAGTAACGAAAACAAGAAAAGCTATATAGCTTGAAATTTCATCATAAAGTTCTGGTTCTAACGATGAAAAACTTTCTCTCAAAAGAAAAACAAATATGAGGCAATCGTAAAGTGGATGTTTATCTTCAAGGGCAAACAAAGTGTTTAAATGAGAAATCAGTTAAAAAGCATCGGCGAAGAGAGTGATTTAAAACAAAAAGGTGTTAAAATATAATATTCAGTTCTGTCCGTCTCCCGTTGGTCTCTCCGACGTTGAAAATCTACAGCTTTTAAAATCTGAAAATTATTGTATGCGTGCCAAGAACGTACCAATCCAAATATGACTGCAAGGCAGATTTTAAAATCTTATCTCTCATTCTTTGTGATTTGTGTGCTTTTATCAGTTCATTTTATTATTTTACTTTTTCGCAACAAAGCAAAACTACAATTCTGACTAATTCTATGCGTTTGCTTTCTGCACTACCTCCCCTCCCCTACGTTCTCTTTCACTAACCTTCCTCCCTCCACTAAAATGTTGCGTTAGCCGGATGTCTCAATGAAAACTTAGAAAGAAATTACAAGATTTCGATTAGGTTAAGTTGAAGGTGACACAATCAACAACTCAACAGAATTATGGTTCCACTTGTAAAATGATTTATGTTCAAGTAAATCGTTTTTCCCGGATATAGTTTGATTGACTTCATATAATCGACTTCTTTTCTCCTACAAATTACATGTATCAAACAATGTTATTCCCCTTATCATCCGTTAAGTTTGCTGAGGAAGGGAAAGTTGCATGTTATTCACCTATTTTTTGTCATCGTGTTCGTTCCTAAAATGCTTGCGTGATACTTTAAAACCGCGTTTATTAAGTCGCCCGTGCAAATGCCAGTTGGAGAAGCCAAATGCAAAACTTTACAGAAAGTCGTTTCAAATGAAGAGCATGTTCAGAACTAATTGATTATAATTTATGACTTTAAAAAGTACGATCGCTTTGTCTTCTGATAATTTATGATGTTTTTCCTCAATTTGGCCCTAATTATGTTCGGACATTTTTTTTTCTAAAAGATCAGAGTAAATTGTTTTACTAAATAAACTGCGGTGTTTTTCTAAGGATTTCCAGCTCTGAGAAAAACCGTAACTACACACGTGTAAAATAACGATAATTTTTTTTACATACGTTTGATACCGCCAATCAGCTGCTGACACGTCACTTGTCTTTCGCGCCACTCTGTTAGGTTGATTGTCAGTAAAGCCCTAAGGTATTTATATTATGAACTAAATAACAAATTGTTGCTTGTATGAAATTTCTCTTGCAGGTCGTGTTCAACTCGATATCTCACTCAAAAAGAAATTGCATACTTACGCACGCGCATGTATTGTTCTTCATTTAATCCTCTGCAGTTCTAATGGAAAATGTACGTCCTCCCTCCAACGTGTTCCTAATAAGCATTGCCATGCTTAATAGGGGGGGGGAGGAGAGGGGAGGTGGTTCTGCCAACAAGTTGTGATCTTCTGCTC